ACGTTACAAAAAACATCAATTATCTCGAAATCAGGATTTTGTAGATCTGCCTTATTTCTATTGACGGCAGCCCATATAATGCCCGTCGTTATACTCCGGACAATTAGTAAAATAAAATTCTACGTAACATTACTACTATGAAAAGATAACTTTTATTTAAACATCTTACTTTTACAAATTAAAAAAATTACGAGAGAAATTAAAGGCAGAGTTTTTTTATAGGCGCACAGTAACGGTAATACTGTAATCATCACTATATCATGTGCACTATGTTGTACGCACGTAATTAACAGATCTATCGGATACAGTTTCTTCGTTAAACTATAGCTGAGAATAATTATTTTTAATTTGGGCACAATTCTCATAATGGTATCTTAATTCTTCTGTCTTTAAAAAAAAAAAAGCAATGGCTACTAGTACACGAGATATAGAATACAATAAATTGATCTTGTTTTATTGTTTATTAGCGTGACGAACCTTTCTCCATAGACTTATCGTCAATGTTACCGACACAATTTGGATCACAAAAAAAGAAAACGACTTCTTCAGAAATTTTTTCGAAAACAAGAAGGAAGGATGAGGTTATTTATTCCGAATAATTTTATTGCATAACTCGTACCAAATAAAGTGGAAGAGTTTGATATTGATTATATATCGTACCTGACCAGTCTCTCTTTACACAATGTACAGCAGGAAGAGATCAAATTGAGCACGTCAGATCAAATAACAAAGAATAAACGTATAAAGCATACACATGAGGATAGCGAGACTTCACATATTGATCGAGATGACGAACAAAGCGAAGAGGCAGATGATGATGATGATGATGATGATAACGAAGAAAACAACGAATCCGATACCTTGCCTATTTCTCATGAAATTAAATTAAATGATCATTATAAGGTAGGTTATATAATATATATACATTCTTTACTAGATTCATTGATTCAAAATCGGCTATTCCTTTAATTATATAGAGCGTTTCTACATTAACGCTTGATCCTGCTGGTGCACGGCTTATTACGGGAAGTTATGATTATGATGTAAAATTTTGGGATTTTGCAGGAATGGACTCTACATTTCGTCCGTTTCGGACTATCAAACCATGTGGCGATCATCAAGTTGGTTACAAAGCTGGATTATTATTTATTCTATTGTTGGTAATAATAATTAAAACTTATTTTATTTGTTATAATCTAGATTCATCACTTAGAATATAGTTTGAGTGGTGATCAATTTTTAATTATATCTGGTACAGCACAAGCAAAGCTTTATGACCGTGATGGATTTGAAATGTAGGAAATATGTAAATGTTTGCTATTGTATAATAAGTTTCTGTTAAAATATTTAAATTATATTTCAATTTAGTGAAGAATATATTAAAGGCGATCCCTACATTCGAGACATGCGAAACACAAGGTGATTAATGTTATTTAACAACTATTTCTACGTTCTTTCTGTCCCAAATATTAATATTACTTTTATTTATAGTGGTCACATAGCTGCCCTGTCATGTGGGGGTTGGCATCCGAATGATAGGCAAACTTTCTTTACTGGATCCGCCGACAGTACAATTAGGTATTGGAGTATTATAATATATTCATTACGATACGTATTTCCACCTTTTTTAAAGTATCCCTACTTGCACGTTATCTACTATATAGAATATGGGATGTAGAGAATAAACGCAAGCAGAAACATGTTCTTGTACATAAGTCTAAAGAACGCGGCGGAAGAAGTGCTATAACTGCGGCATGCTATAGTTCAGATTCAAAATTGTTGGCTGGAGGTGTGCTATTATTATTATTATTATTTCAATTCTTTGTCCTATCGTTTTTCTAAAAATTTTATGTAATTCCAGCGGCACAAGACGGGAGCCTCTTTTTGTGGGGTGCCAATGGACCTTATACTCGTCCTTCACATGCAAGTATTTTTTTCTTTTTAATTTCGTAATCAGTAGAGTCCTATGCCATTATGCTTATTTCATTTTGAAATTAAAGATGATTGAAAAAGCTCATCAACCACATAGTGAAACTTCTTCAATAGTATTTTCTAGAAATAATTGGTCAATGGTAACGAGGGGTGGCGATGATTGTGTAAAAGGTTAGTAATTAATAAAGCATCGGCTTCATAATTGCATTAAAAATTTAATTCTGATTATGTTTCCTTGTTGACTAGTTTGGGATATACGTAATTTTAAAAGTGCAGTAGCCCATGCCAAAGAGCTACCGTCCTTTAATGCAGAGACTAACGTAATATTCAGTCCTGATGAGCGAATGATTATTACTGGTATGAAAGATATGATTATGAAACTTTTTTTTTGTTGCTTTATTAACATTTACTATAATGATAATTAATCCTGGTCTTTAATAATTTTATCGTAGGTACTGCTACTAAAAAAGGAGAAGGATATGGAAAATTAGTGATGATGGACCGTGAATCACTAGAGATTGTTCGCACAATGAGTAGGTTTCTTTATTATAAATTAGCGACATTTTTAGTTCGTACAATTAATTTATGATGCCCAATTAGGTATTACAAAATCTAGTGTTATTCGAGTTTTATGGCATTCGCGAATCAATCAGGTATGAATGACTATAATATAGTGAATTATATTATTGTAATTTCGTTACGCCGAACAATATTTTAATATATTTATTTTACAGATCGTTACTGGAAGTGCGGACGGATTGGTTCATGTATTCTATGATCCAGCTATAAGTGTTCGAGGCGCCAAATTGTGTGTTGTCAAAGAACCTAAGAAGCGGGCTATTGATGACTATGAAATTAATCGACCCATTATTGCACCACACTCGTTATCAATGTTCCGAGATGATAGACCAAAGTCGACAAAGCGAAAGAGAGAAAAATTACGCAAAGATCCTGTTGCATCACGTAGACCGGGTAAATATTAAGATTATTCACAAACACAAAGCAATCTTCAATTACTAACGATTTGATCACATATTTTAAGACCTTCCTGTTAATGGTCCTGGTAAGGGTGGTAAGATTGGTAGCAGCTTGACACAGCACATAATGAAGGAGTTGATAAAGGATACGACTAGAGGTAATTTATCTTTTAGTTTTTCCTTTTTGCCTTTTTGCCTTTTCTGCCTTGAATTTGATTATATAACTTATTTTCACAGATGAGGATCCTCGCGAAGCTTTATTAAAATTTGCAGAGATATCTAATGGTAAGTGTTACATATGTTTCTATTATTATAAGATACCGTCAAACTAGATATAACGTATATACAATTTAATTTTAAACTCAGATGATCCACAGTGGATTGGGAATGGTAAGATATTTTGTATTTTTAATGCTTACATAGCATCTTCTCACCCCTAATTTTTATTAACTGTTATTCTTATGTTTGTAGCTTACAAACAAACACAGCCAAAAGCTATACTGGCTGATTCTACTGGCGAAGATGAAGAGGAGGTTCAAAAATAGTTATGATATTTATTTATATACTAGATGAAGTTTGAAAAATAAATCCTTTTTTTTTTCTTGTTTTTTTTTTTTTTGTTTTTGATGATATACTTTCAAGTGAGACTAATTTTTGTATTAAATATGGGCGTTAATCTGAAATAATAACATAATTATTTTAAAAATTGTTGGTTGCTAAAGCTATGAGTTGATTTTACTCATGTTTTTGGTATGGATAGAGGTCTGATTCAGTAAAAAATGAAAATCCTTGTTCAGTTGTCTTAAATTAAAATTTCAATTTTGACCAAAATTCTGGGTTGGAATTCATCGGAGCTGAGTCGGCATTAAACAATGCCAGCCACCAAATCTGTAACGAAATTACCAGTTGAGCATTTTTACTTAATGAATGATTATGACTTATTAGTAAAATTTGTGATCTCGGGTAAAATTGACCAATTTCGGCCCAGTCGATGAGGATTCTGATGCACTCCACACAGAATTTTGAGTCTTTGATATTTATTGGATTTTAAGACTACCAATGTAGTATCGATTTTGATGAAAAAAATCCTTAAGATATGAATGACGGGATTGTTCAAGTCGATATTGCTATTTAGTAATGGGGTTAAAGCAGATAAGCATAAAGAATTCCATATTTTTAAAATCGGAATCTTTTAAAACAGATCTTATAACTAGACAAACGGAAATAAACTTTGCTTAAACCAATTTTTTTTATTAATTTTAAGCAATATTTTGAAGCACATTTTCTTCTAAGCCGAGCTGTACTTTTTTTTAAATTATACTTTACTTAGGTTGTTAATTTAAGCAAAAAATTATTAACACAGTAAGACCTCCCTAAATGTATATTCTCTAAATGCATGGCCTTGTTTGGTCCCAACTCATATAACACATAGATTTTTACCTCCTTAAGTGCAATACCTCTTTAAATGCAAGATTTTTTGGCCGCCCTACGGCTATGCATTTAGAGAGGTCTGACTGTATATTTTTAGAGAATTAAATTACTGTTTCTTTCTCAATTGATTGTTCTAAGATACTAGTGTTAGTTATTTGACAAGTAGTTTCTAAAGTAAGTAATAATATATATATAACATATCCTTAGATTGTTAATTGATGATCCGCCACAAACCGGTAGTACGATCATGCATTTACTAATTTCCCCCCAAAGTTTCTATTGGAACAGGTAAGAACGTCCCAAATATGGAAAATAGTTACACAAATGTTGAATGATTGTCACATGCCAAACAGCCAAT